CGACCATCGGACGTAAAGCGGTGTGCTAGACCGCTAGACCACCGAGGTCGTCATCGAGATATATATAAGTATAATTATCATATAAAAAGGTGCGTTATGCATAGTCTGTATTTTCTCGAAATTTCCACAGAAACCGAAGATTACAGGTTTGCGCGAGAAATAGCTAATGTTAGTTAGTTACAAATTCCATCATATTAATTTTTGTTTATTATACCTGTCCGCACACGATTATACAAACTGTCTATACGCAAGATTTACGAAGTCAGCAAATTATTTTATCATCAGGTAAATATATTGAATACAAACAAACAATAACTAACGTAGCAACCCGATATAAGCAATCGACATCCGGTAATTTTTTAATTTTCTCTCGATTTTTATCCTGAAATTTTATGAAGCACGTATTTTAAGAATAGAATAGAAAATCCTTTATTCAAATAAACCTAATTTAGACACTTTTGAATAGTCATAACATTTTTTTTTATCTAGAAAGCTGTCTCATTACAGGAAGAATGAGCTAGAAACTTGTGTGTTGCTCTTTTAAATAATCTTGTAAGTTCACATTTTTCAAGTCGAAACGTGTGAATACAAACTACCAACTCGCATTAATTTATCCCCCTCTCCCTCCCCCTCGATCACCCGTCCAATTCAAACGGGGATCGAAATTACGAGGGCCTGAGCCGAGGTTCGAACCCCTAGTAGTGTCATCAGACTGTTAGTATCGTGCGAGGAATCGAACTTGCGACCACGGTAGTATAGCGATGTGTTAAACCGATAGAACGAAACTGTTCTTATGGATGATAATGTAATGGTGCACCCGCCTGCGCTAACGGTTTACGCTGGCGGGGCACCAGTGGAGGATAAGATGAGCATGAGGTCAGGTCAGTTAGCCATTGTAAATTCACCATGCATTTATCACGGTGGTTCCAGGCAGAGCCTCATATAGGTCAACCTGATATGGTCATTGCTAGCAATGGGGTTATTAGTCCATATTACTAACCAAATCCTTCAAAACCAAGCTGTTGACATTTATTGTTAACTATCGTTAATATATAGGAATTCCTTATTCATCCCAATAGTAGTATGTTCGAAGTTGGTTTGTGGGACGAATTACTTTGAAATCTTTAGGAATTCCTTATTCATCCCAATAATAGTATGCCATATTCAAAGTTGGATTGTGGATATAATTTTAAATTATCGCTATTCCTCCTCGTGTCCTCGCTATATTATGTTGAAATATTTAGGAATTCCTTCTTCATCCCAATAGTAGTATGTTCGGAGTTGGTTTGTGGGACGAATTTTTAAATTATCCTAATTCCTGCTCGCTTCCTGCTATATTACGTTGAAATCTTTATGAATTCCTTATTCATCCCAATAATAGTATGCCATATTCAAAGTTGGATTGTGGATATAATTTTAAATTATCGCTATTCCTCCTCGTTTCCCCGCTATATTACGTTGAAATATTTAGGAATTCCTTCTTCATCCCAATAATAGTATACTATGCTATGTTCGAAGTTGGTTAATGGAACGAAATTATAATTATCGCAATTCCTCCTCGCCTCCACGATATTATGTTAATTATTTAGAAATTCCTTATTCTTCCCAATAGTAGTATGCTCGAAGTTCGTGGAATTAAATTTTTAATCATCGCTTAACGCTATATTATGTTGAAAAATTTAAAAATTCCTTATTCATCCCATTAGTAGATTGTGATGTTCGAAGTTGGTTTTGGAACGCAATTTTAAATTATCTCGATTCCTCTGTTTCCGCTACATTATGTTGAAACATTTAGGAATTCCGTATTCATCCCAATTTGCTATGTCGGAAGATGGTTTATGGAATAAAATTTTATATTATCGGAATTCCTCCTCGCTATATTATGAATGTAAACTGAATGTAAACCAACGCCAGCGCCGTCTTACACAATGAACGTTAATCTATTGTTATGGATTAGGATTGAAGAAAACCATACCCGGTACGTAAATATTGAAGGTCGATGTGAGTTATTACAGTGGAATTTTGTGTACAGAAAAAAACTACGGTAAATTAATCTACTAGTAGCTTTGGAAACGGTTTCTCGAACGTATTATTAATATTATAAACGCGAAAGTTTGTGAGTATGCATGGATGTTTGTTACGCTTTCACGCAAAAACTACTGAACGGATTTTGATAAAACTTTACAGTAATGTAGCTTATACATCAGAATAGCATAGGCTATAAATTAAACGCGAGTGAAACCACGAGCACAGCTATTTGATTATAAATTCTTAATATTATAAATGTGGATTTGTATAGAGGACTATAGCTATGCCTTGCGGTTTTACACGTCGTTTAATTTAAAATTCACGTGCTATTAGTCAGATTTCTCGTTATTTTTTTTGTACATATATTAGAGAGTGGAAAACACACCGACGATCTACCTGATTTTATGTGGTTGCTTATATATTTATGTATCCCATACAAAGAAATAACTAAGCACAGCATCACCAGAGTCAAATGGGAGTTCAAGTTTCTTGAACGTTCTTCTTGTAATGAGTCTGCGTTCTGAATGTGCGGTAGAATAAATAATTATATGACTATTCAAAGGTGCTTATATTAAGTTAATTTGAATAAAGATTATTTAAATTTCAATTCCTGACAGGTTTAAAATATCTGCCTCGACATTACTGTACATGTAGTATACATATAAACCTTCCTCTTGAGTCACTCTATCTATTACTAAAAACTGTATTAAAATCTGGAAGCGACTTCATTTTATACTATGTAAAGATGATCTTCTGTACTGTCTTCTTGTAATAAATTTGCTTTCCCAATGAGTGGTGTAATAAAAAAAAATACATGACTATTCAAAGTGCTTATATTAAGTTTATTTGAAGAAAGATTATTTCTATTTCTATTCATGCATGGATTATCCACATTGTGAAAAATACATGAAATAAGAAAATTTCTAAACCGTCGTTGAATTCTTTGTTTTGTATATTGTTTTCTTGTACAGTCTTCTTGTGATGTTGTTTGTGAAGTTTGCTTTCCGAATGAGCGGGAGAATAAAAAACATATTACATGACTATTCAAAAGTGCTTATATTAAGTTTATATGAAGTAAGATTATTTCTATTTCTATTCTGCATGGATTAAAATTATCCACGTTGTGAAAAATACATGAATAAGAAAATTTCTAAACCGTCGTTGAATTCTTTGTTTTGTATATTGTTATTTTCTTGTACAGTCTTCTTGTGATGTTGTTTGTGAAGTTTGCTTTCCGAATGAACGGGAGAATAAAAAACATATTACATTACTATTCAAAAGTGCTTATATTTAGTTTATTTGAATATAGCATATTTATGTTTATGTACCTGCCAGGATTAAAATATTCACAATGTAAAAAATACATAAAATAAGAAAATTTCGAAACCCCAGGAATTTTCTTGTTTTATAGATTACCAGCTACCTGCCCCGGCTTCGCACGGGGTACATATTATTTATTATACATATAAACCTTCCTTTTAAATCATTCTATTTATTGCTTAAAACTTTCGCAAGCGACTTCTGGATTTTAATAGATTTTATACTATGTAAACATGAACTTCTTGTGATATGTCTGCTTTCCGAATGAGCGGTAAAATTACAAAAATATTATAGTAAAAGTGCTCACATTAAGTTTATTTGAGTAAAGATTATTTCTATTTCTTTCTGTCTCTATTTCCAGGATTAATATATACACATTGTAAAAATATATAAAACAAGAGTATTTCTAATGGGGTTTTATGAAAGAAAAGCACACTTTATGATTTCATAATGTTTTACTGTTTGCCATCGTTATGGTATGCGTGCAGACGGGTAGCGTGGAGCTGTTAAATTTATTTTGGAATGCACCGAAATAACGTGTTGTTACAATATATTGTTAACTAAGCTTTATTACGGCCTTTACCTCCATGAAACTGCGGCAAATCCTTTTTATTATTGACGGCCTCGGTGGTGTAGCGGTTTAGCACACCGCTTTACTTGCGATGGTCGCGGGTTCGGTTCCTCGCACGATGAAAACATTTTGTATTCGTGAGTATGAGTGTTCAAATCGGTCTGAGTGTTTAAAAAGAAAATGTATGTATTTAATATCAGTTGTCTAGTACCCATAACACAAGATCTTTTTACCGTGGGACTAGATGGCGTTGTGTTAATTATACAGGGTTATTAATATTATTATTATTAACTGTGGTTTACTGCGGTCTTTACGTTCATGTGTCGCAAGCGAATCCTTTCTAATATAACGTTATAAATGCGAAAGTTAGTCGATCTGTTTGTCGCGCTCTCACGCCGAAACTACAGAACTGATGATCTGACCTTAATATAGCCTTTATTTTTTTAGTTTAACTGTACTATAGACCTTGCTTATCAAGTTGTAGTTATTTAAGGACATACCTCAGATTATAATAAATAAGATTAATTCTGCAAACAGAGACTCAATTTTTTTTAGTTTATCTGTATTATTGACTGTCTAAATAGTCTAAATAGTTGTAGAGTTATTTACGGGTATTCATCAGATAATACTAAATATGATTTGTCACACATGAATTCTACAACCCCAGAGTCTCTATTTTTTTTAGTTTATCTGTATTATTGACTGTCTAAATAGTCTAAATAGTTGTAGAGTTATTTACGGGTATTCATCAGATAATACTAAATATGCTTTGTCACACATGAATTCTACAACCCCAGAGTCTCTATTTTTTTTTAGTTTATCTGTGCTATGAACTATGTCTATTTAGTTTTAGGGGCATACATCAAATATTAGTACATAAGAAGAAGAAAGGCTCTGGTGTTATAGAATTCATGTGTGACAACATGAATTCTATAACACTAGAGCCGTTTTTTTTTTTTTAGTTTCTCTGTAAATGTTATGGGCATTCATATTATAATAACTAAGGTTTGTCACACATGAATTCTTCAACAACAAAACGCAAGTCGTTACTAGAATTTCAAATTGTAACTTGTAATTACAGAAATTCTGGGGTCCCCAAATAGACCCGAGACTGGCGCAGTACCTCTCCAACTTCTTATTCGGGTCGGGACAACAAAAGACAGCAACGGTCGAGTTCAATAGATTTGCAGAGTTATATGTGTACAACGTGAGAGGTGAGTTCTAAATTGTAACTATCATATCATTATTAAACCAATAGTTTACGTCTCCATTAACATAGATTTAACTTTAGTGTAAAAACCGCGAATGTACGCGTTACTATTAAGTCATGTTGCACACTATCAAAGAAACCCACTAATGTAATATAAATAGTACAAATATTATACCGGTATACTCACTACCTAAATACTACTATAAACATATATTATGTAGCAACACTTCGTCACTTCATGCATTACGCTACAGAAGTGAGATGATATCACCGCGCTACATCACTATTATATCATTGTCACGTCACCGTCATATCACTACAATAAATGTTATCACATTCACCGATTCACAATCAATCTTGCCACCTCCACCACATGAAGAAAGTTAGAAAGTTAGAAAGAAGAAGAAAACAGAAAGTTCGGTAATTGTGCTGCTTCTGAAGGTGAACTCTTTAAAAACAGAAAGTTGGTATTAGGCTCACTTGATTGATCAATTTTCAGTACCGTGAAGTTACTTTAAAAGAAAATTACATCCCTGGATTTTATCAATTTTTTCACGTTACGAAAGTAGTAACTTCTTTGGAAATGGTGAAAAGCAAGTTGTGAAGTAAAATGTCAAAAGGTGCTCAGAACAACGGTGCTGCATTTCATACTTCGCAATTAAAAGAGAAAAAGTGGAGAAAAAGTATATATGTTTTAAATGTAGAAAACCGGTTGTAATTTCTATAAATCGTGCTGATAACGTATGCTGTATAAATAGTTTAATTATACATTTCTACAATAATATCACATCACTGTCACATCACCGTCATATCACTACAATATCACATCTCTGTCATATAATATCACAAATTACAATGTCACAACAACCATACCATCATCCTTATTCGTTTTTTTTTTTAATAACGACAGGAACGGTGGATGAAAGAATGATGGTCACATACAATAGTTTGGGCAAGGATTACAACGAGACGGTGGAGTTACCGTACCAGCTCCTGAAAGAGGTAAGGGTATACCACTTCCTTTTTATTTTGTTTATATATATTCTTTATTGCAATTTGAAATGCTAACAAACATCCATACTCACAAACTTTCGCGTTTATAATAATGTTAAGATATCGGAACTCAAAAAAATAAGACTTGGTAAGATGTCGGGATTTTTTCTAATTATATGTATGAACTAGCTTTTGCCCGCGGCTTCGCTCGCGTTAATTTATCCCCTTAGGGGTGGAATTTATCAAAATCCTTTCTATGGGGATGCCTACGTCATAACATCTACCTGCATGCCAAATTTCAGTCCGATCCGGTTTGGGTTGTGCGTTGATAGATCACTATGTCAGTCACCTATTTAGATATGTTTGAATTAAATTAAAATGTATTTTTCTCTATACATGTATCCAAGAACTTGTTTCTTCTTATTCCTTTTTTTTTAATTAATTTATCAATACAATACTTTTGGTGTTTTTCTTTGAGTAATTTTTCAGAGCATTCAAATAATATAGAGTAACAACTATACATATAAATAAAATTGGAATATCTGTTTGTAATATTGAAATAATCATTTTTACTACATACATATGAATATAAATACAGTACTGTATTTGTCTGTGTGTCTGTTTGTTCTGGCTAATCTCTAAAATGGTTGGACCGATTTTGACGAGACTTTTTTTGGCAGGTAGCTGATGTAATAAGGAATAACTTAGGGTACTTTTATTTTAGAAAAATAAAGTTAATTACCACGCGGACGAAGTCGCGAGCACAGCTATAAATATATAATAAATAAAAACTTATCTCATTACTATATTTTATACAAATCCTTACAGTCGATTATGACAGACACGTAATGTACAAAAAAATGCTCGTTTAAAGTAATAAAATAAAACGGTATGTCTACTATTTTCTATCAGGTCAACCATCATCTTTTTCCATACACCATGATATAAAAATAAAGTAATTATTAATTTCAGTACTGTGAAAGTATAGCGTCGACGTATATAAAGATATTGAAGGGCTCGGCGTCGAAACGCGCGCGCATTTGGATCGAGAAGGGGTTCAAGGGGCGCGCCTCCCACGTACAAGCGTTGGGGGAAGCCGTGGCGGCCACCGTTGGAGGGGATCTGGACTCCCCGCACCATCATTGTACTTCTGAACAGTTATCCAAATGGTATAATATATTTTTATAAACTTTTCGACTTGGGGGGGTTTAACCGTTAGCGTTGGGGGAAGCTATTGCAGCCACCATTGGGGGAAATCTAGACTCCCCTCACCATAATTGTACTTCTGAACTGTTATCAAAATGGTGTAGTATATTTTTATGAAGTTGTCGATTTGGGGGTTTAACCCCTAGCGGAGGGAAGCAGAGGCAGTCACCGTTGGGGGAGAGAGGGGGCTCCACTCACCATCATTGTACTTTTGAACAGTTATTAAAATGGTATAGTATATTGTTATAAAAGTTTCGACTTGGTGGTTTGGCCCCTAGCGGGGGGAAGCGGTGGCGGCGGGGCAGTTGAGTATCTGGACTGCCCTCACAAAGATATTTGGATTAGTGAATGACCCCTAAAGAGATTTCATTAAATCTCCCCTTTTGATATTTAGTAATGATGACTACTATCACAGTAGTCATCCTATAACGGATGGGCCACATAAAGAAATGCGGGATTAATGAACGACCCAGAAATTGATTCCTTTTTTTTTATTTTTAGGTTACAAACGAATACCCTACTAAAGCAATTGGCAGAATTAGTGTTCCTGAACCTGTACGGTATTAACAAGAAGCCAGGAGACGAGAGCCCCACACCAGCGCCGGCCGCTATGCCCTCGCTTCTCCCTATTCCTGACGGTGAGTTACCTAGACCTAACAAGTTTATATACTTTACAATTTTTATTAACGGAAACAGTTCAAAATATGTGACGTCACACTAGAGAGGGGAGTGTCACAAATGTTGATGGCCTCGGTGGGCTAATGATTTAGCACACCGCCGATGAACGCGGGTTCGATTCCTCGCACGGTGCAAACATTTGTATTCATGAGTATGATTGTATCGATCTGATTGTTTTCTAAGTATGTATATTATGTATGTATTTACAAAAAATATCTTTGTATTTATATCAGTCGTCTAGTACGCATAATGGAAGCTCTGAAGAAGAAGATATTTATTACTATTTGACATTATTGAATTATATTTACATATAAAGTCTTTTATTATTTAATTTATGGTCGTAATTGATGTCAAGTTTACACTTAATAATTGTGGTCTATCATAAGCTAATTGTAGCGGAATTAAACAAAATTATATAAATAAATTAAATATTGATATGGACTTCAGGAAATTAACACCTAATTCGATAAAATATAAACAAAAGAGACTGCAATAGGAGGGATTATAGTACCTCTTGACTTGGGCGGATCTATCTTTTTGGGCTGCAGCCCCGTGAATGCAAGGGGCCTCCAGCCTCCACTGAAAATAATAGGCAATATTTAGAATTTAAAAAATATTTTAAAACCTATCATAAGGTGATCAACCCTGATATCAAACAACCCATGCAGATCCCCGTCGCTTGTTTTTGGACGGTGTATTTTTTTAGTTGAGTAATATTAGGTAGGGTTATTAGGTAGACCCCTAAATAGTGTTAATCCAGGGCCCCACAAATTTCCGATCCGCCCCTGCCTCTTGAGGTTCTTTAATTTTCTTTCTACTGTTAGGGTTCACATCGATATTGTCGAAAAATCAGATATTTAATATTAAAAGAAGGTAGTTTCATTATTACTCGGTATCGTTAAACTAGTTGCATATAACCCCCACTCATATCTTCTCTGTATAAATGGGAGGATTTTTGTAGGCCGCGGCATTCCCCTCCGATCGATCCCCCGTCCAATTCAAACGGGGATCGAAATTACGACGGCCTGAGCCGAGGTTCGAACCCCTAGTGGTGCCCTCAGACTAAAGTCGTATCCGTCGGGCGGGAGTTGGCCTTCAGCTGCTCCATAAGTCCTTCCGCGGGTTTGGAGTGCCATCTGCACTCGCCCCATAACGTCCGGTGAAGCTGTAAAGGCCAGCTACGGCCAACAGTATTAGAGTAGTCCGAAAGAAAAAAAAAAGGCCGCGGCATTCGGTCTTTGAGCACAGGATGTGCTGGTTGTATTTTAATTGCTAAAGTGAATTGTGTTAGAGACATAGTTAAATTAATGTTATATAGTTGTTATTTTATTATAATACATACTTTTACTAGTACATAGAGTTGATATATCTAACACTACTAACTATGGGTTGTTCTTTACTTTCATAGGTCTAGACGCGATGCCAGACTATCCAGCGTTCATCGATCTATCCCATATAGTGTGGCTGAACAGTCATATCCCACAGAAGCATCAGCACAAGTGGCGGTTCCTGTTCTCATCGCATATACACGGCGAATCATTCTCCACTATGGCGGGTAAGGACATAACTGGCGGAGGGAATGGAGCAATTTTGATATTTATTTATTCAGTAACAATTTATATTGTGTTTGAAATTATACAATTTTTGCTGCTAAGAAATTCATCAACACTGTCAAATGATTGCTCCAACAGAAAACAATGCAACCTCCTCCTAAAAAGCTTCCAATTATGTATTTTCTTTAAACTATTGGGCAAAGAGTCATAAAGCCTTTCTGCTTGGAAACCCTCAACATGCTTTACAATATTAAGGGTTGGTTTTATAATGTTAATAATAATCACTACATTGTTTTTAATAGATTGTTTACTTCTTTAGTTACTCTAGAATAGAATAGAATATAATTAATTGACTCTCAAGCACAACAATTACATAAAAAATAATAATTTACACAAAATAAAAAAAAAACCTTCTATGAGGACCACAACTCAGCATAATGCCGGAAACATATTTCCTGATTTTCTGATTTTTAAGGATGTTTGTTACTTTCGCGCAAAAACTACTGAACGGATTGTGATGAAACTTTACAGTAATATAGCTTACGCATCAGAATAACACATGGGCTATATTTTAAACCGTGGTCACAGCTAATTAGAAATAATCTTAACAAAGGAGGATTTAAAGATTTGTAATGTAATGAATAAAACTTTACCATTCCATATAAAAAAAAGTATAGAAAACTATAATATGTTTTCACAGGTAGGATCCAAGATCAAGGTGCGTCCATCCTCATAATTGAAGATAACAGCGGCTACATCTTCGGGGGCTACGCCCCCGTGCCGTGGGCTCTAGGGCCCAACTTCATAGGCACCGACGATTCCTTCCTGTTCACCCTAGCACCGAAGATGCGAATGTACCCAGCTACTACATACAACAATCATTACCAATATATGAACCATCATACGAAGACGTTGCCTAATGGACTGGTAAATACATTTTTTAGAATATAATAATAACAATAATATTTTGCATATCTGTAGAATTGGCTGCAAATTTCTGGAAATAGATGAAAATGGCATAATACCTATCACGTAAATAAAAAGGCACACAATAAGTACACAAGCACGCACGCACGCACACAAGCATGCACGCACGCACACAAGCATGCACGCACGCACGCATGCACGCACGCACGCACGCATGCACTGCACTTACTTGGTTTCGGCCTGTAAGTATGGTCCCTGAGCTCTAGGGCCCAACTTCATCAGCATCGATGATTCCTTCCTATTCACTCTAGCACTGAAGATGCGAATATACCCTGCTACAACAATCATTACCAATGCATGAACCATCATACGAAAATCTTGCCTAATGGACTGTTAAATACTATTTTTAGAATATAATAATAACAATACTATTTTGAGTACCTGTAGAATTGGCTGCAAATTTCTGGATATAGATGAAAATGACAACACTTATCAAGTAAAAGAAAATGCTCACAATAAGTACACACGCACGCACGCATCCATGCACGCACGCACACACGCACTGCACTGCGCTATACTGCACTGTACTGCACTGCACTGCACTGCACTGCACTTGCTTGGTTTCGGCCTGTAAGAAAGTGTAATAAGCTAGCTAAAGCTGTAAAGTGTAAGAAATAATAATAATACCCCTGGACAATTCACACATCGTTATCTAATACCAAAGTAAGCAGGACTTGTGTTATGGGTACTAGACAACTGATATAAACACTTAAACTAAATATTTATTATAATTAAATATTTATATGAATACTTAGATTTGTACATGAAAATTCGTATTCTGGTTCCTACAGGACAGGCCGATTGTTAATATAAACATATATAATACAATTTTGGTAAATAAATAAATATTTAAATTAGTTTTTTTAATGCCGTATCATTAACAGGCTTCAAAATAAATATACGATTATCCATATCTTCAGATAATGGGTGGTCAGTTCGAATTTGGTGGCATTTGGGTGAATGCGGACCCATTCGGCGAAGGTTCCTCGGCGGAGTCCTGCAGTACTTACAAGGGGTACCGCCGCCTCAGCAAGGATCCAGCCTTCCACATCCGCAGCCTCGAGGTCTGGGGTGTCGGGGATAAGCCCGTCATAGACAAGGAGTCGGTAAGTTGAAACATAATATAGAGTTTTAATAATATAATCCTGAACGTATCACTAAGCGCCATCTAGTTCTAAATTATGGATACTTATTTTTTTTTTAAGTATGTATGTAAGTTGTAAGGGCAGAGGAAGGCTGAAAAGAGATGTATGGAGTTTGTGTAGATGAAATAAAGAGAGAGAGGTGATATTGCAAGAAAGTAATTAAATATGAATTCAATATATTTCATAATCGACGGCCTAGGTGGTCTAGTGATTTAGCACAGCACTTTACTTCTGATGATCGCGGGTTCGATTCCTCGCACGGTATAAACATTTGTATTATTATTTGTATCGTCTGGGTGTTTTCTATGTACATTATATATGTATTTATAAAAAAAAGATTAATGTTATTATATCAGTTGTCTAGTACCCATAACACAAGCTCTGCTTTATATAGGACTAGATGGCGCTGTGTGAATTGTCGAAGGATATTATTATTATAATCAAATACTTGAAGAACATCTTAAGCTATTATCATTATGCTACGACCTTTAGGAACAGAGCAAAGAAGTTCGTAAACATATTTTTAATATAGAACTGCGTAGACTACCTTAAGTGCCAACACCTAACCTTACTACCTATCACAACACTCTTCCCATTTCCTCTCCCACTATTCCTCAGATGACCACACTATCGAAGCGCAGCAGTGTACTTGAAACTCACAAGTCGGAGCACAACTATCTGAAACTAGTCGGCGTACCGAAAACCATCGATCCGCTTGATTAACCTCTATAAGGTTATGTACGCCTAGTACTTTCGTAGTATTCATATACCTTAAAACGTAAGGATCATACGATTTGTCGTGGGATAGGTTGTCCGATTTGTCACAAGTTGGAGCCTTCTGCTTCGCTTGATTAACTCCTATAAGGGTATGTACGCCCAGTACTTTAATAGTTTGCATATACCTTAAAACGTACGGATCATACGATTTGTCGTCGGATAGGTTGTCCTATTTGTCACAATTTGGAGCCTTCTGCTTCGCTTGATTGACATTCTATAAGGTTATGTAAGCGTACTTAGTCCTTTAGTAGTTTACATATGTCTAAGTAATATTTGATTTTGACGTTTTGTGTTAGTCGTGTAATATAAGGTAGACTTGTTATCGGATGAGTTGTCCGATTTGTGACAAGTTGGAGCTCTCTGCTCCGCTTGATTAACCTCCTATAAAGTTATTAATGCCTAGTACTTTAGTACTGTTTTTTAATCCCGGAGACAAATTTGACACTCCTATGTTGCCAGCCTTTATATAGAAATTAATATTAATTACCCATTTTACTGGTTGCTCAGAAATATGTAGTATATATTTATTGATAAATTCAAGGTTGTTGTATCAAACTAGATTTATATTAATTGACATATTTAACACCACAAGACTTAACTGCGTTTTTTTATAAAAACAAATGACCTTCGTATTGTGTCATATTTCATAAAATATACAAGTATCTAAAATATTTAGCTGTTTGAAAGAAAGAATTGTAGGTTTGTAGCTTGATACTGTAAAAATAGCCATATGTAGGGAAAGCGCAAAAATGTATTTTTATGTTATATAATACAATGACAGTAATGGAAACACTAGTATAAGTACGTAAATTTTAAAATACTGTTGTGGAAACGTCCTCTAAAGCTTTAAAACTAATATGTTAAAATAAACAAATCGGTATTGCAGGATATACTAGTACACGTACGTAAATGTTAAAAATATGTTGGGGAAATTTCGTATAAATCGTTATTCAAATTCAAAAATCATTTATTCATGTAGGATATTTTAGCCGCTTATGAACGTCAAGTTTTTTACATTATAATTTAATTTTTTTTCCCTACGTTTAGTTCGGTATATAGATCCAATTGCGAAGAACTAGCAAGAAACTCCATTGTATTACTTTTTTTTTTTAAAAGCCAGTTTATTCACAATGTATATTTATATAGGTGTCTATGTCTAACGTTAAATGAAAATCAAGTTAAAGAGAACAAGAAGGTACATGACGCCAGGAATATTATACTACCTTCATATATCATAATATAAGTAGCATTGGAATATACAAGTATCAGTAATAAATTCATATGTATAATTGAGTTAGAATTTAGAAATGTCATTAGTTTCATTCATTCATTTTCATTCAACTGTCACCTAAAAAAGTACTGTTTTCACTTAGATTCTAATTATTAATTTATTGTTCAGGATGAACGCGACGTGAGCGTGTTAGACACAAATCCAGAAGCGAAGGCCATCTTGGACATGGCGGGCCGCACCCGGCACAGCGAGGGAATCCGTGAACCACCACCGTTATAATGAACGCATGGCTTTATATACATAGTTCCTTTGCTACTCCACTGAACCATAGACAAAATCACTATATAACTTGATTTTGGTATATTGATTGTGCCATTTATAGAGATTTTTATTATCTGATAGGTATTATGAATGGTTTTGGAACGAATTATTTTCTTTTTCAGCCATTTTATATCGTTTTAAATTAAAAAAGAAATATACCTCAAAAATAATCTAAGGTAAAATGATTATTACACTATCATAAAAAATTAATTAAAAAAAATAGCGATGCATTTTTAACTTTAATAATAAGTACTTCAGTTTGGGATTGACTGAAAATCACTTATCATTTCCAACTTGTATTTGTCTCATAAATACACACATGTTACAATAAATATGATAGTGTAATGGTCCCTATTATATAACATATGCATAAGGTAGTTTGAAAGTAAAATCTTTCGCTATTAAAGATCTGAGGTTATAAAGCATAAAGTGTTGTATATATTTTAATATACTTTGCGAATAATAAGCATTCAGTCGTTCTTCATTCTGCTTTAGCAAGAGAACATCACAATGCAACTATTTTTCCTTACTTCTTGTATAACGGCAGAAAATCAAGAATAATAGTTTTGAGAATATAGCACTTAAATTAAATTAAATTAATTAAAATGAGTTTAGACATTAAATCACAATCAGAGACGTTCCTTAACCTGGTAACCGCGGAATTCCTTTTTTAATTACGCAACATATAACAGGCACTGACTCTCATTAGGACGTGTCAGTACGTCACAGAGAAATATAATTTTATATATATATATATTTTATTTGTAATGTATTCCTTTATTTATAAGCAACAATAACAGTATACAAAAACTTTGTTGTACGAAACTATACGTCCCACCCGTTCCAGGCTTCAGAGCGCAACATGTTTGACGTATTTAAACGTCCCGCTCGGTTAACAGGTTAAGTTATTGGTAATGAATGATTAGTGAAGTATAATTAAATCTGTTATTGAGCCGTTCATCCCAGAGACAAAATTTAGTCACTCAAAGTTAATGACAATTGTAATGGAGCATAGGGCAGTGAATATAGGATTCATGCTATCGACTGTAAATCGACAAAGTGATTTGCAAGTAGAACAGAGTTGCAAGTAGTATAAATTATTCCAAAACATACTAGAATTTTAAGTTTAAATATTTTGAAAGTTCAATAATTATTTTAAAAATATTCCAATTAATTATTCTGCACATATTTATATATAAACATAATGTAAATTAGCTATTTTTATTATAATATAATCAGCTTTCATATTTTTTATTACGGCAATAACTGTCTAAACATAAAAAATAAAAAGTGCGGTTTTCTTAAAAATATTTTTCTCGACTTTCTGCGCATATACTAGACTTATAGGCTGTATATAATTATTCATTTGCTTGTATTTGTAATTTATTTAATAAATTGTAATATGTTGTAACAGCAATAAAAATGTGCTTGTAAAATAACGGGATGGTGCCTTTTATATTTATTAAATTATTAGGAAATTTTGCTGCCATCCTTCACACATCCGTTCGCTTTCTCTTAGTGATTTAAGTATTTATACATACATTATGTTGTCTGTGGTACATTTTAATATTTTTATAGTGACGGGAAATTAATATTATGTGAGCATTTATATGAGATTAATTCTTAAGCGTCTTTCTCTAAAACTAAACAATAAATTTAATATTTCAAATAAATGTTTGATGAGAGTTTGACTCTAGTCTAAATTTAGTCTATGGTTCTGTCTACATTATGAAAACATAATGGGGTTAATGCTTAAGTGTCATTCTCTAAAACATTGATTTAAAAAAATATGCGAATCAAAACTAGGCTAAATTTAGTCTATGGTTCTTTCTACATTATGAAAACAAAATAGTCTAAATGATTGTGACAAACTCTATTAAGTAGTCTTGATGGTAAACGCAAAATCTGATAGTGAAAGCAGTAAAATCTGTTTGCATAGTTTAAACGTAGTAAACGCAAAACCACATAGACTTACGCGAATATACTTTATAATAATTAAATATTTTGAGTTAAGACACTTTGGAATTATGTCACATATAACTATATCTTATTACATATAGTACTTGTTCATAAAATAATATCTTGAAAATCACTATTAAAACGTAAATGTTTTTTACTATTTCAATTCACTAGAGTTGTGCTTTATAAAGAAAAAAATTGTATATAAGATTTTTTATATTATATATTACATGGTCGATGTATAAAATGAATATTGTAAGCTTGTGTTCACGAATAAATTTATAAATATATAAATGTAATGCTACGTTTACATTCAGCCGCTTCCCCTGCCACTCGCGCTGCCGGAAATATTGCCGGGCGACAACTGAGCGAGAGGGCTGAATATAAAAACACGCTGCCACTCGCGCTGCCAGTCCTTTGACTCACGCACGAAAAACCGACAATCGAGGGAGCGCCGGGCAGCGCGAGTGGCAGCGCCAATGGCATGGGAAGTGTTTCCACTCTCGCGCTGCTCACTTCGGCACATTCGGGCTGAGTGTAAACTTGGCATAAGACGCGGAATTGGGAAGTAGGAGTAAATGATCTGGGAAATGATATACGTATATGATATATATGGTTATATATACTTACTATTAATACATTTAATTTTTCGAACCAGGTTAAATGAGAATTGAATGCTAAACTTTTTCGATGTTTACCTCTATAACAACATGCTGTTATTTCTGTATAGGAATAAACAATAAAATTGTTCAAAACCAGTTTCATAGCAGATTTTAAATTAATTAGAAATTATCGACTACTCATGCAAATTCAAAACGCCATCTGTATTGCTCTAAGCAGAGCTGCTACAAAATATTGAAAGTAGATTAATTGATTTATAAATATCAGTAAAAATATCTCATGCAAAAAACAACAAGTTAAATTTTGTTGTCCTGTGTTATCTATACATATAAATAAAATTGTAGTGTCTGTTTGTAACATTGAAATAACAGTTTTTTACTACATGCATATGATTATAAATACCGTACATACACCAAAATACAACTTTTTACAATTTTTATCTGTTTGTTCCGGCTAATCTCTAAAATGGTTGGACCGATTTTAACGGGACTTTTATTGGCAGGTAGCTGATGTAATAAGGAGTAACGTAGGCTACTTTTATTTTAGAAAAATGAAGTTAAATTCCATGCGGACGAAGTCGCGGGAACAGCTAGTCTAATCATAAGTTTGGTTTATAAACAAGCATGTACGTTACTTAGTATTAGATACAAGACTAAGTCAAACACCTAGTCAATGTAGTAGCTATCGAAATTATGTAATTTGTAACGGAACGCGTTCTGACAACTACATATCAATTACACCCCCTTCTTAAAAAGAAGCATCAGTTACTGCAAATAACTCTATCAGAGTAATAATGATATCCCTAGACAGCTTGGGGTCAATATAATATTTCAGGACAATTGAAACAGCGCCATCTAGTCCCGAGCTAAGCACAGCTTGTGTTATGGGTACTTGACAAGTGATATAAATACATAGATATTTTTTTGTAAGTACATACATATTATACATAGATTATATATCGATAGAAACAATCATACTTATGAATACAAATGTTTGCAACGTGCGAGGATCGCACCCGCGATACACTACCGGGGCCATATCACCGCAATATCTTAAGTAATCTGCTTGGCGACTGAAATGTGTGAGACCCAGGCTTTGTACTAACTCTGAGGAAAGTATTAATTTAATAGAGTCGCGGTTTGGTCGCCGAAGATTCAACACTAGGCTTCCAAGCTATATCCGAACTCTATTCAACGCCCATGATGACTCGTTCAGAGGCGAAACACGAGTCGCAATATGGCTGTAGACTCAATAACGGTCGGAATTTGATCACCATTAGAGAAGGAACGGAATTAAACAAAATAATATAAATCTATTAATTAGTGAAATGGACTTCCGCAAAATAAACAACTAAATCTATTAAATATTGAGTATTAATTTGTCATGAATTTGTTGTAGTTTTGAATGCGTTCCATCAACAAAAATAGTGCAATATTCGATCTTTTGTTTTAAGAAATAATTGAATTATTTAAATATTGGCATAGTCTTAGTATTTTACGGCATTTAGTGTTTTTGTTATGTGCTTTAGTTAATAACATGTGTAATTATAGAATATATGTTGTTCTTTATGAGAAATCTCTCGATACTGAAGTCTATTGTGAACAAATATTATTTTTAGAAGTTAACCTATATTTCAGACAGAAAACAATTTCTTTAACCTTTCGAATGTCCGTTGTCTGTCGCAGTGACCGAAAGTGAAGGGCCAGTTGTATTTAATCAAATGCGTTTCAAACTTATTTTGTTTGTAATAAGGTTAAAAAGAAGTCACGGTTTTTTTTTTAAAGGATGATAATGGAATGATGCACCTACCTGCGCTAACGGTTTACGCTGGCGGGGCACCAGTGGAGGATGATCAGATGAATATGAGGTCAGGTCAGTTAACCCATCGTGACATATTTACCAGAAATTTGTCACGACGGTTTCCAGGGAGAACCGCGTGGAGGTCAACCTGGCATGGTACATTGCTAGTAATGGGGTCATGAGTCCACATTACTATCCTAAGTCACGGTTTTGCGGGCACAGATCAGTGACAAGACGGTAATACGGTTTAAGAGGGGTGCACTGCACAGATCTGTGTCAAAACGTTCAAAGGGTTAAGACTTCTGGAAATGAATTAAATGTATTTTCATTATATATTTAAGCAACATTATCAAGTGCCAATGAATTAATAGCATAAATTATTAATAAGTATAAAAATATATTTGTCTCTTTCACGCACAATCATTATGACATTCCTGACAGGAAGAGCTAGACCAATGTTTATTCATTCTCCCAATAAGAAGACCTACTTGGTAAACAAAATTCAACTCAATTGTATTGGAGATAGAGTTGTTTTTTAACATTTTGAAGTTGCCAATGTGTGTCCAAAGATATGTTAAAGTGAATTGTAGCAAATGATCGCTTAATTATATGTCTACTAGAACAAGGAGTGTAAGTTTGTATTATTTATTTAAATTATTGTGATAATAAATTATTTAAAACTTATGTATTGTTTTCATAAGATCTTTTACTCGACTGCTGAAGATATTTTATGGGATAATAGAATAAAAAATCCTTTATTGAAATAAACTTTATTTAAGCACTTTTGAATAGTCATCACATTTTTTTTAATCTACCGCTCATTCGGAAATCTTTCAACATGAGCAAAAAACTTCTGTGTTGCTATTTTAAATGGAATAGAATAGAAAAACATTTATTCAAATAAACTGCATTTAAGCATTTTTTGGATAGTCATTACAAATTTGTTAATCTACCGCTCATTCGGAAAACTGTCTCATCACAAGAAGAATGAGCAAGAAACTTGCTTGTTGTTCTTTTAAATAATCGTTGTAACTTTACATTTTTATGTCGAAACATGTGAATATAAACTATCAACTAGTACTAATTTATTTGGTCAAATATAAATACACAATAAGATTAAATCAGTCGTAGTGATTAGAGCAGACCAGTCCCTACAAGCAGCACTCGTTCACGAGTATGACGTATGAGCCAGCCATCACTGCGCTCGACCATATTTAGGGAGCCCAATACTGCTTTCCACCTTGAGATCCTCAAGCCCATACATATCTTTTATAATAATATCACTGGACACAACGCCATCTAGTCCAAAGCTAAGCACAACTTGTGCTAATGTATACACTAGACAGCTAATAGAATATTTAGATACATTTTTTTAATACATAATATACATAGAAAACACCCAAACCGATACGAAGTTATACTCATGAACACAAATGTGTGTACCGTGCATCTTATTAATCTATACATATAAATAAAATGGGAGTGTCTGTTTGTAATATTGTAATAACCGTTATATAATATGAATATGCATATGAATGTATATACGGTACACATACCAAAATAACATTTTTTATAATTTTTGTCTGTCCGTCTGTTTGTTCCGGCTAATCTCTGAAATGGCTGGGCCGATTTTGACGGGACTTTTTTTGGCAGGTATCTGATGTAATAAGGAGTAACTTAGGCTACTTTTATTTTAGAAAAATAAGTTAATAATACCACGCGGACGAAGTCGCGGGAACAGCTAGTTGTGAATATGAATGGATGTTTATTACTCTTTCACGCAAAAACTACTTAACGGATTTTGATGAAAGTTTACAGTATAGCTTATACATCAGAATAATATATAGGCTACAATTTAAAAAGATATATGTAAATTGGGTTAAATAATAAATATCAAGTATGATGCAGACAAAGTTGTGCGGGTTAGCTAGTTGGAAATAAAACGGTGTGCTTTACCACCAGACCACTAGACCATCTTAAACGTAATTGATTCAATTCAATTCATAAAGAAGATTCACAACTAAATAATAAAAAAATAACTCAATCCATCATTTAATACTTATTTGACAAACTTAATTCATATAATCTATTTTTTTCCGATAGACAAATCAATTGGTACATGCATATCACAATAAGAAGCATGAAAATCGTCGCAACTCTTCAGTGCCGTTAAATCTTCTGTGAGGTCATTCGACGGCGCAAGAAACTTTAGGCCACTTGGTATTGTATTGTTTGAAGTGTTGTCTTGCAATTTTGCAGCGTTCCGAGTATGATACGTTCTGTTAGCAAAGAGATTATTTAGGGCGTTAGTTAGTTGAGACGGAGGGGGATGGCAACAAAGTGTGACATTGTCACAGTGGGAGTGGTCCTAATTTTCGTAAAATCAAATTTCAATATATTAAAACACGAAATTAAATTATGAACCTAAATAGTTCTAATTTCAAAATAAGTATTAGACGTTCTAATAGCAAAGAGATCATTTAGGGCCATCCATAATTACGTCACATGTTGAGGCGGAGGGGGGTGGCAACAAATTGTGACATTGTCACAGTGGGAGTTTCCAATTTTCGTGAGGTTAAATTACGAATTCAATATATTTAAATTACGAAATTTAGTAGGAGTGTCTGTTTGTAATATTGAAATAACCGTTTTTTACTAAATGCATATGAATATAAATAAAGTACATACACCAAAATAACATTTTTTACCATTTTTGTCTGTCTGTCTTTTTGTTCCGGATAATCTTTGAATTGGCTGGACCGATTTTGACGGGACATTTATTGGCAGGTAGCTGATGTAATATGGAGTAACTTAGGCTACTTTTATTTTAGAAAAATAAAGTTAAACTCCACGCGGACGAAGTCGTGGGTATGAACATTGGGTGGGGTGAATCACCCTATCTATTGCTGAGAACTGCACTAAAATCCTTTGCGTATTTCAAAAGAGATGACCTTACAGGCAGCGGCGACTTTGTTTTATACTATCTAAACAGATATCCTATGTAAAGTACATATACATACATACACTACGATCGATAGGAGTATAAATGCAATGAAAAAAGTAGCAAATCCGGGGATATGAGACGCAGATGAAGTCGCGCTTGTCAGCTAGTGTTAAAATAAAGATATCTCACTTATATTTACGGCAGGCGTCGTCTCGGTGCCTCTCCAGATATCTTCGTTGGCTGAACGCCTTCCCGCAGTGCAAGCATCGCCACTGCCACGAGTGGTGGCCGCGGGTGCGCTGGTGTGCGCGCAGGTTCGATCTGTTCGATAAGTTAATAAATTAAATTTAAAAAAATTGTCTGTCTGTCTGTTCTTACCAATCTCTAAAATTACTGGATGGGTTTTAATAGGATCTTCATTTGCTGATTGCTAAAGTTGTAAGGAGTGGCTATTTTATGTTAGAATTCATATTTATTTTAATAAAAAAATTTGCTTATATGTATAAATGTCACAAATATGAACACACATATACAAACAAATAAAATTAAAGTATCTTTATAATTCGAATGTGCATGAAAGTACATATATACGGTACTAATATAAAAAAAAACTTCAAATTTTTGTCTCTGTTCTTACCAATCTCTGAAACGGCTGGTCCAATTCTGACAGGACTTTCACTCGTAGATAACGTTATAACAAGTAACTTAGACTACTTTTATTTAATTTAATAAAAAAAGAATCATACATTGCGCGTTCATATAAACAAACAAACTCCTCAGCTTTATAATATGGGTATAGATTATTGTTATTAGTCAGGATTGAGTTACCGATCAGCAAATGTCCTGCCACAAAGCGGGTGCGGACAGGGGAATGGTCTCTCGCCGGTGTGCAGCCGAAGGTGGCCCTTCAGCACCCACGGTCGGTCGAAGCACTTGCCGCAATAAGAACATGTGTGGATAGCCCGCACTCGCCGCTCCAACCACGGTTTCAACGGCTGATTTCCATCTGTGAGACCGACTTCTTAGCATTTTTTTATAGATGTTAATGAAGTGGTATACCACGGTACTTGACATAATGGTTTACGCTGGCATGGCACTAGTCAAGGATGATAAAATGAACATTCAGGTCAGCCCGTCGCACAGTGGGAACTCGCCTAAGAAAGCCATCTCATAAATACTTTTTCTAAAACTCCGTGGATATGCTTGTATAATATCTCAAATTATAGCCAAAGAGTTACTCTATGATTATAAATATGATTCAAATCTCTGACTATTCATACTTCATAGAATAGAGCATCTAAAGTCAAGGAATGAAAAAAATACAAATATAATTTTGTAACTTAAATTTGTTTGGTATAAGTTTTTAGTATCAAAACAATATCAAGTCATATAGTGTGATACCATTTTAGAATGCTTAGAATGTGTACTTTACTATAAAACAAAAATGTATTTAGTTTAGTCGAATATTATTTAACTAAAAATCCATATATCGTTATATGTACTATTTTCTTTTCTCAGACTTTCACTTGGAGATTTGACAGTTGCCGAAGCTTGCCGAAGTTCTAAATTTGGTTTTATTTATTAGGAAATATAATGTAATTTGATGGCATAACATTTTTTTTTGCAGTTTTACTGCGTAAAATATTTAAATCGAGTATAATATCATGGTGATATTTGTTTTTTCTAAGTACGTATATTAAGATTTTCTTCTTTATTTGAGATTCTCTGTCTGAATATTCAAAAAAATACTCTTTGCTCAATTAATACTCTATATTTTATCTTTTGCCTTACTTTTATCGACTATTTCACACAGTATATAGTTCCCATTCCCATACAGACCTATTCTATACCGCATAATGATAAATATTTTTTATCAAGTAATTTTGCACACGTATATGATTATTATTAAGTATAAAATAGTGTATGTATTTGCATATGAAATATTAGTAGTAAGTTCTTCATAAGCATTTGTCATTACTAAACAATTGTTAATTACTCATCTCGCCCCAATGAGTGAATTCTCGTGTACCAGACGCGACTTAAGTGTCTTATTGATTTAAAGTGATACAAATTATTTCGTATATAGTTTGAGATAGAATATCTCAAACTATATACGAAATAATTTTACCGAATCTTCAGATGAAAATATAGCAAAAATTATCGCAAGTATTCAGAAGTCCTTCGTAACTCAGTTTCGTCAACGCTATACGAAATGTGGTCGAAAGAAAGAACAGTTTTTAAATAAAATAGCAATTGATAGGATGGTATTTTCACAGTAAATCTAGAAAAAACTACATGCGAACCTGAACCTCCTACTTCGACAGAGAAAAGAGGAAGACCTTCTAAAACGTACGAAGACAGTTCGGACAAAGAAACGGAAAAACAAGGCTTGCTTGATACCTGTGGACTTCATACTGAACTCATATGTACAGGGTTTAAGGGTTTCATCATTGATATTTTACGAGCATTGCCGGCAGAAAACTAGAATGAATTGAGCAATCTTAATGAATAATCTTATTAATGAACCGGCACATATAACAGCATATTCAAAACATTAAGCTCTTAGCATTTTCATAAAATTGGATCTGAACACAGAAGGCACAGTACGAAAATATGAGGAGTTGTTTGATAGCAAAGAATTACTTATTGTTTCCATCATACAGGTTGATTCGTGAAGCTAAACAATCGTGCTATCCGCGAAAATTATGTATAGAAATTACTAACGTTAAAGCAGAAATCAAATGTATGTACCATTTGCAGTGCAAAACCTACAGAGATGAACAATTTAGAAAAAGTACAAAATAAACCTGTCGATGAAACTTCCTATCAATATGGCCTTTCAACTTTGCATTCGTGGAACTTATTTTACATTAATTATCTTACAATCAAAATACAAATCAATACAAATGGTCTGCCACAACAACAGAAAATAAAGATTTAAAATAGCAAAAGAAGGCTTATGTACAAAGAAGGTTCAGAGAAGAACTTGGATTAAATATAGATAAACCGAAGCAAGTTAGTGGCAACACTAATGACGGCAATACAGCCACAAGATTTTTCCAAAATTATCATTGTATATCAGAAATTACTAGTATATATGAGGAATTAATAAAACTGTTTTATGTTATGAAATGAAATGTGAACGTGTGATACGTCACTTTTCTGTCTTGCCTCTTGGGCAACTTTCAGAAGATGCAGCAAGAGGCACGGGACAAAGACTATAGACAGTTCAGGCTTCATCATGCAAGACAATGTACGAGGGTAGCCTCTAACAAAGATTTTCTACACGCATTTTTATATACCTCTGACCCATACATAACAATTTTAAGAAAACCTTCCAATTAAAAATATTTAGTACTTTTTGATGAAGAAAAGGAGCTCTTGAGTGACTTGTAAGCTATTTTTATAAGAATTTTGGTTTTTTACGCTGACTTTTACTTATTTCTCTATAAACTTCTTAGGACATAAATGTAAGTCTACAAATTCTATATTTCTTGTATTCCTATATTATTTATAACTATTAGAAATATTTTTTCACTCACAAAGCATACAATATTTAAAAGTATATATATTTAAGATTATCAGGAAAAAAAATCATGTATATATCTTTATTAATACAGAAGTTATAGATTTATGAGATGAAAATGAGTCAAAGTTCCCACTGTGCGTCGTGACAAATTCACCAGGAATTTATCACGATGGTTTAAAAGGGAACTGCGAGGAGGTCAACCTGACAATGTACGTTGCTAGCAATAAGATCTACCGCTATCTAAGATTTCTTTAACTTATTTATTTAAAGTTTATTGAATTGTGCAATTGTTACAAGTATAAGTGTACCATCTACCACTTTCTGTCTTCTTCTACCTAAAGGTTGTCAGGAAGAGATTGCTTACGCTATCAGACCGCCTTTTGCCTTATAACTTACTATCTGTTTATGTTCTTTGTAATATACTTCTGGTGCAATAAACAGTAAATAAAAAAAATCAATAAAAACATTTCACACTACCATCTATTTCTTTTATGGATGATAATGGAATGGTGCACCCGCCTGCGCTAACGGTTTACGCTGGCGGGGCACCAGTAGAGGATGATAAGTTGAACATGAGGTCAGGTCAGTTAACCCATCGTAACAAATTCACCATGAATTATCACGATTGTTTCCAGAGGGAACCGCGTGGAGATCAACCTGATATGGTACATTGGTAGTAATGGGGTTATTAATCACACATACCTAACAATACCCTTCCCCCTTACTACCCTGTATTTCACACACACACACGCATATATACTCTTTTGTTTATTGTTATAGTCTGTTGTCAACTTGGGTATAGATTAATATTGTCTGTCTATAGTCTTACTGGGTGATCATTAATTATAGTCGAATTTCGACTACTACTACTACGACTACTGGGCGACCATTAATTCAATCAAATAGACAAATTAAAATCTTACCAATGTTTCCAAGTGGCATTCTCATCTTGCTCTATAACCGCCACTTGAAATAACTCTTTGCACGTCAACAACTCTTTATCCAACTTTTCTATTCTACTAATGGGGTCATCAGTCCATATAATTAACAATTCCTTGCCCCCTACTTCTTAATATTCTATCGATACATCCGCAACGATGGCCTGGGTCGAGGTTCGAACCCCTAGTGGTGCCCTCAGACGAGTTGGCTTTCAGCCGCTCTATAAGTCCTTCAGCAGGTTTGAAATGCCATCTGCACTTCATTTTAAATATGACGTCACGAAATTTAGGACTACCTCCCAACCGCTTATCAAATAATATCACACTGTCGTCACAACCGGGCGCTCCTCACCGAAGCATTAGGTAGCTCATTTGTTGGATCCTCCGTCCAATTCAAAAGGGGATCGAAATTAGGACGGCCTGGCCCGAGGTTCGACCCCTAGCGGTGCCCTCAGGCTAAAGTCGTATCCGTCAGGTGGGAGTTGGCCTTTAGCCGCTCCATAAGTCCAACCGCGGGTTTGGACTCGACCACTGGGCGACCACTAATTCAATGAAATAGACAAATTGAAATCTTACCAATATTACCAAGTGGCATTCTCTCATTCCCATCTTGCTCTATAACCGCCACTTCAAATAACTCTTTGCATGCCAACAATTCTTTATCCAACTTTTGTTCTGCGTTAGTTTTCATCATAGTCTTCAATTTTTCAGCAATCTTATCTATTTCAGCTCCTCCCTTACAATTAGTTTTCAGCGGTTCTCTTTTTTTTAATTCTTCTATAATAGGTGCTAACGGTTCCTTTCTATGTGTTTGCACTTCGGAATCTATTTTCACATTATTTTCTTTTCCTTTTTCAACTTTTCTTTTTCTACTTCCCCTCTTTCGGTAGAAAATCTTACGTTCCGTTCTACCGTCGCTGGATCTCAAATTGTACGCCGTTTCATCCCTTACCTTTCTTGGTACAGCGTTCCTTTTAGTTTCTGGTGAGATGACCGCTTTCTCGTTTTCTGATGCATATTCGTAGACTTCAAACTTGATGAAAGCTTCTTGAAACTGGCTACGTTTTAACAGTTGGAGGTAAAACCGCGTGGATATAGGCACTTTGTCGTGGTAAATAGTTTCATTACTTTTTAATAATATTTTTTCTTTCTTTATATTCGATTTTGTACGTAATGGTCTGTTCTCACCTGCAGATAAGTTAAAATTATATTTATTATGTAGTAGATGGTTTTAGCATAGTGACTTATATATATATTTATTGTGTTTATACATATTTATTAGTTCACACAAATACTAGGAATATTCATACATAAATAAAATATATAAATAAATTCTATTAGCAATAGTTATAAAGTAACATCACGGGTGTCACCTGATAATGCTGTCCATAGTAGGTCATGCATATGCGACAGCGATATAGCAACATTTACCTTTAACCATCAGGCGAGCCGTAAGCTTGTTTGCCATTCTAATAACATAAAAAAAGACCTGATGTTAATGTCTGTAAACAGTACAGTCGGAAGACCATTAACTAACCATGTAAAGTCCATACGGTCCGCCTTATGGTAAATGTATACAGTAATCTAAGGTCGCTTGAAATAATAAAGCCACTACCTGCGTTTTAACAATACTACCTACGTATTTAGGATACTGACGAAATCTTTTCACTCTATTTTTATTAAACTAATTATTTTAATATTGTTTTTAATATATAAATCTGTTATCTACATTATAGTTATCTGTGATTATAATATCTAATGAGGTTTAATAAATAATCAAAATTCTAAATTTGCAGCTACAATTTTAATACTAGTTACAATTTCCTACATTCTTTATATACTTTATAAAACAACCCGTGACTTACAACTCGGTAGGTGCTCACTTTCGTGGCAAATATTCTCCGTTTCATGTATGAAACTGTGTTTAATCGGTCGTACCGAATTTATAAAACATTTAGGCATTACGCTTATACTGCTGATAGGGATATAAAAACATAAATATATTGTAAAATACCAATTAAAAGTGTCCGACAGACATTACACCTACAGTAGGGCACTTGCTGTGACGCGACACAAACAACCGAATCGAAGTCAATTTATTTTAAGAATTCCAAATTCGAATCCAGCGTTCGCGGACATCGGCTGCCAGTGTCGACGACCGCCAGCAATTTTTCTTTATAAATGTTTAAGGTATTTGGAACTATAACGCAATATTTGCATTCCAGTAGGTGATTTTTGTAAAAGAATATTGAAAATGCGTTACATGGAATTTTCGTATCTTATATTTAAAAAAATATGTTATTGATATATTTTGATAGTATGGAATAGTTAAAAGTATATATATATATATGTTTAAGGACTTTTATTAAGGTAAGTTTTACCAATGTACTTGGATTTTTTTTAAAGGATGATAATGGAAAGGTGCACCTGCCTGCGCTAACGGTTTACGCTGGCGGGGCACCAGTGGAGGATGAGAAGATGAGCATGAGGTCAGGTCAGTTAGCCCATCGTGACAAATTCACCGGGAATGTATCACGATGGTTTCCAGGGGGAACCGCGTGGAGGTCGATCTGACATGGTATATTGCTAGCAATCATTACTCCACATTACTAACAATCCTCTTCCCCCCTGTACTTGGATATACACGATGTATAAACTGTCTTTGTGTGCACCTATTCCTTAGTAATTTTAGCCAAGCAGCTTCCTTTATAGGTTGTTTTAGGAGAGATATTTCAGTAAAATTACAAGGCACGCTTATTTCAGGTCCTGTCAGGTTGACCTGCGGTTCACCCTAGAAACCATCGTGATGACCACGTGAGGATTTGTCACGATGGGCTAACTGATCTGACCTCATCATCTTATCATTCCCCACTGGTGCATTATAAACTAACGTGGGTACAAATAAGTCATATGTCACATTAATATATTTGCGGTGTAACACATCGCTTTATTTCCGACGATCGGGGGTTCGATTCCTCGCACAGTGCAAACATCTGTATTTATGAGTACGGCTGTTTGTACCGGTGTAGGTGATTTCTATGTATTTACAAAAGAAACATCTAAGTATTTATATTACTCGTAGTTGTCTGATACCCATAACACAAGCTGTACTTATAACTACAATGGGGCTAGATGGCGCTGTGTTAATTCTCCAGGGTTATTTATTATTATTATTTGTAAAATAATGTTTTATATGTGTTAAATTTTTAATATTTTTTTTAGTTTTAGAAATTAGAGAACCTATAAAATATTACTTTATTTTGCTTCAATGGTTAATCTCACTCTCCATTCGATCAGCTCAAACACAAGTATCATTTAAAAATAGACCAAGATCTCATTATCTCTCTTCATAGTACATATTATTATTTGTTTTTTTTTTCATTTCTTCCAATATGTAGGTTTATATATTTATCCCTAATATATATATGTATATTTAGTAGTATAGTAAATAGTGTCTTATGTGTGCCACCTACCTATTATACATAGTACATAAGTCCTCTTCTAGATTGTCAGTAAGAGATTGCTTTTAGCGATAAGACCGCCTTTTGTAATGACTTTACTATTTACTGTGTTTTCTTGTTTCATCTGTGTACACAATAAAGTTTTATTATTATCATTATACAAAAATTCTCATCTCCCCTCTTAAGGAGAGGAGATGGCAACTTACCCCCGGCAGAAGCACAGTCGGCGGGGTTCAGGGCCCCAGGGAGAGAAACCGGCGTACAATACAATTATTATTATTAATATGTTTTTGAAATTAGCGTACAATGTTTTTATAATCCACATCTAATTATAATAACCTACCGTTTAGGTCAGTACTTGATATAATGATTGGTACATATTCGTATCGGTGTATTAAATACCTACTGATACACTGATAGCGTAAGCTTTTGATACGGACGCGTAGTAAATATTGGAGTTTCAGCTTTTTCGAAATGCTTTTATGATAAATCGCTTATTGTGGATCGTTCGGAAGCTTTTGATTAGTGATGTTAAGCGACTGATAGACGTACGAACTTTATGTATTGGGTTTTTAAGATCGCGAACTTAAAACTGAGTGACTTCTAATTCAGATCCTATTATAGTATTTGTAATTCTTAAACTTGTTCTTAAAATTGTTCTATTAGTTTTATATATTGTAAAATTTATAATATTTGATTTGTACTTTTAAATTAATCCTTATTCTGTTTGCCACATTCTGTTTTATTTTCTTTTCCTAAGTCACTGAAAAGCTGTTATTGGCTTTCTCTAGATATGTACTGTTGATTAATGTATTAGATTGTAAGCTGTTGATTTTCTAATAAATAAACAAATAAACTTATATCGTCTACACAAGTGAAGCTTTCTCATACTCATGTTCAAAATATCTTTATTCATGTAGGTCTATTACAGTCTCTTATGATATGTCAAATCTACCGTCAGTTCGGAATGATTTTGAGATGAGAACTGACAAGAAACTCAGCTCGTATTTTTTTGAAATAAATATTATATATATTTACAATACAGATTCATTTTTGTATTCTAATTTGGGAGAATAGAGTGACCGCTGTATCATAGATAATATCATAGACTATAATTGAAATGTTCATCCTATGATACAGGGGCGGATCGTGATTGTGTGGGGCCCTGGGCTAAATCTAATTAGTGGCCTACCTAATTATATTAGTCAACTAAGAAAATACAACGACCTGAAATTCCCCGTTCCTTTCGATAGACACACACTTGCATGGGTTGATTGATCTCAGGGTTGCCAACCTTATGATAGATTTTTTAACATTCTAGATATTTTTTTTTATTCTAAATATCGTTTCAGTGGGGACTGGGGGCCCTTTGTATCTTCGGGGCACTGGGCTGTAGCCCAAAAAATCCCTTAGGTACATCCTGCTATGATACCTTCATCCCCATATACTGTCGGTCCGCGGTTCGCGTCTTGGCACTCCCTTTTCTTTGCGGAATCCAGACCCTCTTAAGAATTAATTAAGAGAATTAATCTTTTTCTTACTTTTTCGGGGCTCGTGGCCCGCAATCCTGCAACACGTACAACCCAAGACGAGTTACGAGTAAGATTTCAAATCGGTTAAATCTCCGACGAATTTACGTATTACGGTGACACACAGACAAAAAAGATCTTCGAGCAATATGTACGCGTACTTGCTCGTACGTCTATCACCCCCTTTATGTGAAAAATGTAGATAATAGCGCGCGCGCGGTGCTGACGCCGCGCGGGGGTGAGCACGGGAGGGCGGCCATCGATTATTCGGCGTCGAGCGTCCGTCGAGTTCGTACGCGCCGTGTTTAAATTTAGAATTGCCGCTCGAATACGAGACGCCGGGAAATGTTAAATTTTTGGGCGTCATCCGTTTCTTGTGTATTTATGTTCACGTAATCAGTGTTGTGACTTATGTGACGGACAGGCCGGGACCGAAAGGTGGGCAGGCCGAGCCGGCGACATGGGCAACTCGTGCAGCTCGGGGCAGGCCCATAAGGATAAGGACAATTTGTCACAACATTCAGAAGAGTGAGTACTACCTAGTTTATGAATATCAGTTGACGCGGCATGAAGGTCAAAACGCTACAATACTCTTGTTAGCTGAATGGTCGTAGTGAAAACAAGCGTCATGCCTTGTCTTATTTGTCCAATATTGTCGAGCGGTGGTCGACTAAGATAAGCATGTGTTGGAATCGTGAAAATAAATCAATACACTGAAATTCAGTTACAGGTAGCAGGAACATAAACAGACTATTAGCATATAAAACGATTTTTCTTTTCTAAAGAGAGAAATCTAACATCTTCATTAAAGAGTAATCAATGTAGGTACAAACTAATTGTAATTAGAAATTTTGGGAAGTTATGTCGGTACTGACACTTTCCTGATGAAATATATAAACCCTACTGATACTGATATAATACTGAGTAATTATATTTTATTGTTACGATTATGTAAATACTTAATTTCCTGATGAAATATACCCTACTGACATTAATATAATTTATACGTATAAATAAAATTGGAGTGTCTGTTTGTAATATTGAAATAACCGTTTTTTTACTACATGCATATGAATGTAAATACACCAAAATAACATTTTTTACAATTTTTGTCAGTCTGTCTGTCTGTCTGTTTGTTCGGGCTAATCTCTGAAATGGCTGGACCGATTTTCACGGGACTTTTTTGCCAGGTAGCTAACTTAGGCTACTTTTATATTAGAAAAATAAAGTTAAATTCTACGTCGCGAACAGCTAGTACTGAATAAATATAGATTATTTATTTAATTATTATTACTAGTGATTACCCAGTGGTCGAAATCCAACCATAACTAACTTAACATTAAAGAACATAGACAAATAGTATTAAAGACAAACAATCTATCCTCAATTTGACCACAGACTAACAATAAACAAAAGAGTATATATTCATGTGTCAAATACATGGTAGTGTGTGTAATGTTTTTTTTATCGATTTAATAGATTTTATGCCTAAAGAAAATACTTGGATCCTACACTTCTCTTCTATATAAACTACTAGCTGCGCACGCGACTTCGTCCACGTAAAATGACGATACTTCCATATAACCTTTCAACCCTTGTTTTGCATTAAAAAGTAGCCCATGTCCCTTGTCAGGGTCTAGACTACCTGTGTACAAAATTTAATTTAAATCAGTTCAGTGGTTTCAGCGTGAAAGCGAGACAGACAGACAGACAGATAACTCTGTCTGTCTGTCTGTCTTTCGCATTTATAACATTAATAAGGATAAGTATGCGAAATTTCATACTCGTCTGTCCTGACAATTTTTGTAAAAGGTATAGGTATATTCAGTTAATTGTATAATTCCAATAAATATGACAATATAGGTATTAAATTGCTTTGTTTTGATGGTGAAAGGATTTTGCCATTGTTATTTAGTAAATGGATATTAGTCTGTGACTCACCATTATAGGGCCATAGTACATGGAGTCTAATAAGAATGAAACTATTATCTAAGAAATTATATTTGAAAATCTATGTTCAACTTTGATCTTTTCAAATTAACGATTTATCAGATACTAACTGTACCCACGACTTCGTCCGCGTGGAATTTAACATTATTTTTTCTAAAATAAAAGTAGTCTAAGTTACTCCTTATTACATTAGCTACCTGCCAAAAAAAGTCCCGTCAAAATCGGTCGTTATTTCAGAGATTACCCGGAACAGACAGACAGACAAACAAACAGACAAAAATTGTAAAAAATGTTATTTTGGTATATGTGCATGTAGTAAAACGCTTATTTCAATATTACAAACAGACACTACAATTTTATTTACATGTATAGATGTCTAAAATTCACCAATTTATATACATACTAGTTGACCCGCGCAACTTCGTCTGCCTCACACTTACATGACATTTATCGTTATGTTTCCCCCAATTTACACAATATCTTTTATAATTATAACCTATGTGTTATTCTGAAGCTATATTACTGTAAAGTGTCATCACAATCTGTTCAGTAGTTTCTGCGTGAAAGAGTAACAAACATCCATCCACACTTACGAACTTTCGCGTTTATAATATTATAAAGATATATTGTTATAGCAACTATAAATTAATGTACCCACACAGCAATAAAGATTTTTTCTATTCAATTCGGTCGAAAATATAATTCCCTAGTCTGTGATGAGTCAGGGATGTCTCAGGTTTTATCCGACTTTATTAATCTATACATATAAATAAAATTGGAGTGTCTGTTTGTAATATAGAAATAACCGTTTTTTACTACAGGCATATGAATATAAATACGGTACATACACCAAAATAACATTTTTTACAATTTTTGTCTGCTTGTCTGTCTGTTTGTTCCGGCTAATCTCTGAAATGGTTGGACCGATTTTGACGAGACTTTTTTAGGCAGGTAGCTGATGTAATAAGAAGTAACTTAGGCTACTTTAATTTTAGAAAAATTCTTTTATTTTAGAAAAATAAAGTTAAATTCCACGTGAACGAAGTCGCGAGTACAGCTAGTTTATAATATAGAGGAAAGGGGATTTTTAGTAATGTGGACCTAGCAATGTACCATGTCAGGTCGACCTCCACGCGTTTCCCCCTGGAAACCTGGAAGAAGAGCGGCTTTTACATGTTTGCGAGGGTGCTACTCCTTAACCCACTCTCGGAACTGCAACTGACTTTCATAACAGAAGTTTTTTAACCATCTTAACGCTGATGACCTCGGTGGTATAGCGGTTTAGCACACTGCTTTACTTCCGATGGTAGCGAGTTCAATTCCTCGCACGGTACAAATATTTGTATTCATGAGTATGATTGTTTGTATCGGTCTGGTTGTTTGCTATGTATATTATGTATGTATTTCCAAAATCTAAGTATTTATTGCTTTGTGTTGTCTGCCTGGATTTATGTATGTATGTGTATTATTATTATTATTGTATTATGTTTATTGTATATGAAGCAGCGGACACTGAAAACCAGCGTCGTGGCACCCCGTCACGACATATGCTGAGCGGAGACCTAGTTGGTACTCTAATTATTAATATAAAATGTAAATTAAATTTTAAAAATTATTTTCAGTGTACCAAATAAACAATTTTCTTTTCTTTTCTTTTTCTTCTTATATCAGTTGTCTAGTACTCATAACATAAGCTTACCGTGGGACTAGATGGCGCTGTTAATTGTCTAGGGTTATTTTTGTTTATTAGCTCTCGACCGGCAGGACTAACTGACGAAACAAAACTCTGTCTCGCGGGCTATTACAAGTATGACATGCAACAGTTTTTTACCTAATAGGGGCAATGAAACACGCGATACGCCTGTTGCTAATCTGTTACCGAGCCATATATACCACTGCCCATAGATGTCTGAAATGGTAATAACAAGATGAATATGGCATACATTAAGTCCTGACGGAACTTTCCTAGCCTTTAAAAATATTGCGGTTTACTAATATCCGGCAATTTAGTAATTTATTTATATTCGTCCGCGTGGAATATAACTTTATTTTTCTAAAATAAAAGTAACCTAAGTTACTCCTTATTACATCAGTTACCTGCCAAAATAAGTCCCGTCAAATTTGGTCCAGCCATTTCAGAGATTAGCCGGAACAAGCAGACAGACAGACAAAGATTGTAAAAAATATTATTTTGGTGTATGTACCGTATTTATACTCATATGCATATAGTAAAAAACCGTTATTTCAATATTACAAACAGACACTCCAATTTTAGTTATATGTATAGACTAGCTGTGCCCGCGACTACGTCCGCGTGGAATTAAACTTTGTTTTCTAAAATAAAACTAGCCTAAGTTACTCCTTATTACATCAGCTAGCTGCCAAAAAAAGTCCCGTCCAAATCGGTCCAGCCATTATTAACCAGCCAGCCAAAGATTAGCCGGAACAAACAGACAGACAGACAGACAACAATTGTAAAAAATATTATTTTGGTGTATGTAATGTACTTATATTCATATGTATGTAGTAAAAAACCGTTATTTCAGTATTACAAACAGACACTCCAATTCTATTTATATGTATAGATATATATAGATGTATAGATAGATAATGTTTGTATGCATATATACTAAAAAAAATTGTCGCGAACTTTAAGAACTTGTCGAAAGCCGAGATGTCTCGTTTTTTAGCACCTTGAGCAGCAGTTATTATTTGTGGCAATGAAAATCGCTAGGAAGTCATTGTAATATAAAGTTATGTGTTTTTTTTTGGCTTATTGCGTGTTTTATAACTGTGAAGATCGCGCGGAAACTATTGAACTATTAAATAATGGTAAAAATTATTGTGAAATCATCGCGTTTTATTTTACTTCTTACTAATAATAAAGCTTTTTTTCTGAGTACTCTAATGCTGTTGGCCGCAGCTGGCCTTTACAGCCTCACCGGACGATAGGCGGCGAGTGCTGATGGCACTCCAAATCCGTGGATTTATGGAGCGGCTGAAGGCCAACTCCCGCATGACGGATCAAAATTAAAAATCAAAAGAAAAATTCATTTATTTTAGAAAAATAAACTTAAAATCCACGCTGACGAAGTCGCGGGTACAGCTACTATTGATATAGATATATAATCTATATAATACGTAACACGTGAAACAAAAACTTTCTGTCCCATTTTTTTTTAAATTGCGCGGACTGATTTGTATGAAATTTCCTACACTTATAGTTTATATAGAGAAAGAGGGCAGAATGCTAATATATTTTCTTGACTATGCCTAAAAATACTTTAAATCGATATAAAAAAAAACATTATACACACTGTCATATATTTGACACGTACGCATATGTCCTATGTTTATTGTAAAAGTCTGTGGTCAAATTGAGAATAGATTAATATTGTTTCTCTTTAATATTACTTGTCTATGGTATTATTGAATGTAAATTTAATTATGGTCGTATTTCGACCACTGGGCGACAACTAGCTATCATAAAATCATCAACAAGCCTATGGCGCACCTTGGCATCCGGCCAGAAATGTTTAGTGTGAGTATTTAGATTTTTTTCATGCTGTTTACATGCT